AACGAGGCCAACCCTAAATACCTGGGAGTAACTCTGCATCTAGAATACCTCCAAAGGACCTGTGCCAAGATCAAGACTCTGAACAGCATCGGGCAGAAACCTGCGGGAACAAACTGGGGATCTGCGAACTCTGCAAGTAGCAGCTTTCACTACTATATACCCTACAGCGTAGTACCGGCTATCGACGTGGCTGCATGAAACTTCCATGTTATCCTCAGCAACTGCTTGAGGGCCATAACAGGAACCTTCCATTGCACCCATCTTCCCTGGTAACCGACCCTCTCAGGCTTATCTCCATCTGATCTGAGAAAGCGCCACGGCTGTCTGAAAGAGTACCGCAAAATCCAGAATGAACGAAACTTGCCAGATCATCAGCATCTCAAGAACCATCCTGCGGCAAGACTCAAATCGTGGAAAGCATTGTGGAAAACCACGCACGACTTAATGGCATCAATTTCGATGCCAGTCATGAAAAGGAAAAAATCTTACCAAACGCCTTATCGACGATAGGATAAGAATTCTGCCCGGGTTCCACTTGGCCCTTAAACAATGGGCAACCCTGAGCAGGGTTCGCACCCGTGCCAGGAATGGGCAGCTTCTGCACAAGTGGCGCGACAAAAAAATCTCGGCATGGATTGTAGCTACCCAGACCAAACAGTCGATCAGTGCGAATGGAGGAAGTAGGAGCATTACATGCGCTGGCAACCGGTTCCATCCTCCCTCCTCCAATTTCGACCTCTACTTATAGCCGTCTCTGCCATAAGTAAGAAGAAGGCATTGTGTTTCACGTCAATAAAGGCTGACAATGTCAGCCGTAAACTTGATTCAAAACTACCATCCTCATGTGCAATAGCATAGTTTGTTGTTTAAACACCCCACGTGTCATTCCAGTGGCTCTGCACCAAGTTTCAGTTTTTTACATAAAAAATAAATCGAATAGATGCTGTTTCAATGCATTTGAACAAGGAATTCATAAACACATAGTACAGAATTTTCAGAAACGTCCGACATTGGATCAAGCAAATGTCTCGCCCCCCCCCCCCCCC